GATCATTTAAGTAATGTTGAGGAAGAAGCTGGCCTCCAGATCCTGCCTGAAATTCAACCTGAAAGAAAAATATAAAAACTCCAAGTGAATCATGGACAAAAGAAAAACATTCCTGCTTAGCTTAAGAGATTATGAAAATTAACAGCAAGTATTCCTAAATATTACTGAGTTTAAATACACTGACATGATAGCAGCAGATATTTTATTTCACAGTGTATTCCTACCACTTTTTCTTATATTTAAGTATTCTAAGATTTATTGAACCACTAGAGAGCTTTTACAAAGTTAAGGGCTAGTTGGTTCTTTTGCTTCTTTACTCAGGATTAAATATACTGTATTTAACATCCTGAAACACAAACAGGAAGGCCTTCTTCAAGCCATAAAAATGAAGTATCTGCCACTACCTCATACCATATTAAATACCAGGTGACTACAGATAAATGCCAATAACTGCCCTAATAGGACAGTGGAGAGATATACCTTGAAGGCTCAAGGTGGAAAATTTTGAATATGTCACAAGAAGACTTTAAAATATCTCTTAAGAAGCAAACTGAGCCTTAAATTATGCAGTATTATTTAAATGCTCTAAATAACACTGTTTGTTTTTCATTTTCAATTGAGGTTCTTAGCAAAAATCATTTTATACATTTTTCCAAGGAAAGAAATACAACTTTAAAACAAGCAACTATTTTTATCAAGTAGGTTGTTTAAGCAAAAGCACCATGATGGTGAATATAAGTTCAAGCATTCCTACTATATCTTGCTTAGAAAAAAGGCAACTTATAATAAAGCTCTCTCTCTCTCATTTGAACCTTTATGTAATGAGTAATTTTTTTAAAGCATTTACTATATTAAAGTGCTATGGGAAAATATAAAAGAAAAATAGTTTCTGCCCTTAAAGGAACTATAATCAAATTGAGGAGACAAGAATATCTACCCAAACACAGGCTGAAGAGTATTATATTTATAACAGAACCACATATTAACCAATGGAAATTAATGTTAGAAAAACTATACTTAAATTACCAAGGAAAGCCTCAGAGAGGAGGGAACTAAATCAAATGGTATAAGTCATAGTACATATTGAATAATACATGCATAATATCAGTATGCTAAGTACAGGGAATCAGAAGGACAAAGTCATAAATAAGTATAAGAAACTCTAACCTCAAATAGGAAATTAATGTAAATAAGTAAAGAAATTACATGCTAAACTGACTTTCTTTTAAGTGAGATATAGTCAAGTAAACTTTTAGATCCTGCCATAATACATTTATTTAAAAAGAAAAAATGAATTCTACATTACCATATCTGTATCAATGGAAACTCGGAGTCCTATCTTATTCATCCCATTACTTTTTAGAGTTTTCAGATGTGAACAAAGTGCAGCACTGCCAGCTATTGCTATCTCTTTAGCAAACTGATAACGACTTCCTGACTTTGTAAAGTCCTGGTCCTTTAGAAAATAGAATACCTGAAATACAGTAATTAGAGAATACCTGAAATACAGTAATTAGAAAATAAGTCATGATTTGTATTTCTGGTTATATGGACAAGATAAACAACCTTAAAAGTAACTAATGCAATTTGAGATATATCACTAACACTTCATTTTTATTAACAAGTTTTAACATTAACATTATACATCTCAGCAGGAAATTAAAACTAATGGTGACCCAATATTGGAATGACTTAACTGCACCAGCCCAAAGCTCTAAACTAAGAAATCCTGCTTCACTTAGCTTTAAAGATGATGCTAATCAGGGCAACTAGATAGCACAACAGATAAAGCACCAGCCCCGGAGTCAGGAGGACCTAAGTTCAAATCTGAGGCTCAAACATTAACTAGCTTTTTAACCCTGGGCAAGTCACTTAACCCTGACTGCCTCCAAAGAAATGAAAATTTTTAAATGATGCTAATCTTTTTTTTATAGTAGCAAATAAATGGTAACAAAAGAGAGATCCATCCACTGGAGAACAGCTAAACAAATTATGGTATATGAAAATAATGGAGTATTAACACACTGTAAGAAATGGTAAAGATGACATAGGCAAATATGGAAAAAGGTATGAAATAAGCAAAACCAAGAAAATGATATGCACAGTGACTTCAACAAAGTAACTGGAGAGGATAACCACAGTCAATGCTGCTGCAAAATTATAATAACTAACCTTATATCCAAAGAAGAGATATGAAAACACCACCCCCCTCCTTCTTTGCAGAGGTGGGGGACTATAGGTGAGGAACATTGCAAATACTGTCAGATTTGAGTGGCTAATTTTGATGTACTATTTTTTTCCTTCTCTTTTAAAAAAATAAGATATGGTTCTCTGGGAGGTAGGAAGAGTGGGGAGACATACTGGGAAATGTAGGTGAAGTAAAAAGAAAAGAAACATTTTTTAAAATTATGTTAATGTGACCAAAGTCTCTCTATAAGAACTTCCATATAAATGTAGAAATAATACAGAAATTCAAGATGTTCTGTACCCACACAATATACTTTGAATCTCAGTTATCAGAGATTCTGGTCTGAGGTGATCAATTTATTTGTTTCAGGGGAAACAGGTCAGAGTATGGATGGATCAGCACAGTCCATTATTACTAATAAAAAATAATTTAAGTGTATGCTGCACTAAATAACAGACAATATTGTAAAAAATAAGCTAGACCTCAAAGGAAAATGATTATTTACATCTTTGGAAAGTAGTGGAATAACTACCATTCACTATCCACATAATTTTCAATAGAATACTCAAGATAACAATAATTCAACTAATACTCGTAGAATTACCAAAATTTGCACAATGGGATGGAAATATGGAAATTTTTCTTTAAATGATAGTCAACCCTCAGTCCTCTAGTCATTGCCTTCAGTATGAAGAATTTGGTATAATACCAGATTTGGGAGATTAAAAGCAGCGGCAAAATCTTAAAATGTAAAGGAAAAAAAATATATATATATGTATTTATATGTGTGTGTGTGTGTGTATATAAAATCAACAAAATACAAAAAAGAGTAATCTCAATCTATTACCTCAGTACATTTTACAAGTTTCTCGTCCGTTTCAAAATCTGCTTCCTCTTGTATTTTTTCACTTGGAATTCCTTCCAATGATTTCCCGTCTATTGCACTAATAACACTATAGAATAAAACAAAGTAAATGTTAGTTCAAGAATTTCTTTGATTAAATAACTTTTTAAAAATACAGAAAAGAACTAGAATACAAGGTTCTGATAAGCAGCAAAAGGTTATCTCCAAAGGCAAAATATAGTGCCTATCCGTCTACTAAGTCCTTAAGCCATGAGACTGATCTGTTAAACTATCAGTACTTAAGATGTAGTGAATAATCAAGGACTAAGCCAAATTCCCTTACATTAACCTCAAAATAAAGTTTAAAAAAATAAAATGAAATAAAAAACAGCAAAAATTATAATGAAATAAAGACAAACAATTCAGCAAAAAAGCCTTAATGCAATGAACAAATACTATGGGGTAAAAGAGAAAAGAATATGAGAACAGGCAATACAGAAAAGATGATGGAAAATGTCACTGAAGCAGCATCCCAGTAACAGTAACATTTACATACTGCTTTAAGATTTACAAAGTACATTACAACTATTATCTCACTTGATCTTCAAAACAACCCTGGAAGGTAAGTATTATTATTTTCCCTATTTTACAGATGAGGAAACAGAGACTAAGTGATTTTTCCCAGGGTCATGCTTGTAGTAAGTTGGGGAGGCTTGATTTGAACAAGTTTTCCTCACTTCAGGTCCATTACTTTCCACTTCAGTATATTCTGAGGAGTAGAATGGTTCAAACAGCATGAAAAAATACAGTAATGGAAGAACAAAAACAGGAAAAGAAAAAAAAGAAAAAACTAGAAGATGACTTCATATCTCTACAAAGCAAAGCAGCAAAACCAGAGGAAGAAGCTCAGCAAAACAACTGAGAAGTTAGTTGAAGGCAATCTAAGAATTATTCATCTTCCCAAAAAAATATTTTTTAAAAATATGAATACCATCTTCCAGGAAACAATGGAACAAAGTGGTCCAGAAGTGCTGGAAACAGAGGACATAGTACAAACAAAATTCAGGCAGAAAGAAATTTTTTTGTTTTTTGCTTTTTGGTGAGGCAGTCGGGGTTAAATGACTTGCCCAGGGTCACACCGCTAATAAGTGTCATGTGTCTGTGGCCGAATTTGAACTCAAGTCCTCCTGAGTTCAGGGCCAGTCCTCTATCCATTGCGCCACCTAGCTGCCTCTCAGAAAGAAACTTTTAAGTTCAACTCATCCAGAAATGCAGTCACCAAGTGACAAAGTTTCAGTGTCAGAAAGAAATCTTGCAGATGGTGAAGAGAAAGCAATTTATAAAAGCTATTCCACTATTCCAGAAAGCAGGTGAAAAGAAAGTAAAAGACTTTTCAAAGTCTGACTTAAAGACTTGGAAAATAGCAATTAGCAGTGGTATTGCGAAGACAAGTCATAAAAACTTTAATAGAAAAGAACATTAGGTTTAGAGTTCAAATTCTAGCTCTGCCATTTACAACTTTGATGACCTCATTTAAATCTCTCTTAGATATAGTTTCCTTAGCTGTAAAATAAGAAGGCTGAATTAAGTGACATGGGAAGCCCTTCTAGGCTCTAAATCTATGAAGCAATGAAATCTGTTCAAAAGCAACCATTCAAATTGTGTACAAGCACTCAACATGATTACAAAACAAAAAAAGAATGGAACTTAATATCCCAGCAATTAATGGAAACTAGCCTGCATCCCCAAATTGTCGGTCCTGAAATTCTCTATCATAAAAAAGTTGATTCTTTAATGAGATGAGAAAATATAATACTTTTCACAGTGGGAAATAACAAACTTGGGGCTTTGACAGGCAAATTACAAAGCAGCCAAAACTGCAAAAGGTAATACAGATTTGGAATTCAAGTACAGTCAATTCTGCTATAATGGCTGTTTTGAAAACACAAATTTGTTCCAATTTAACAGATATTTTGGAGAACAAGTTGAGCATAACTTGAATTACAAGCAGCACCACTTCTGAATGACTCACAAGCTGCAACTCTTCTGATGACCACTTACACAAGCAAACTTAAGGTCTTTTTTAAGGTAAAATACCATATTTATTGTGTATCTTCTAATGTAGTAGGCACTATCAGAGTAAAAGAGGTTGCCACCACCCATTCCACCATGGTCCCATGGCTGGCATTGCAGCCTGCCCAAATTTCTTAAGACTTTGCCAGCCCTGGCTGTTGGAACCAGGGCCCAGGCCCAGCAGTTACTTGAGGCCACAGACTTTGTCACTCTTTATTTTAGTATTTATGTATTTCTTAACCATTCAACTTGTATAAAGCTGTGCCATCACTACAGTTTTTTGTTTAGGTTTCTATTTGTATGTATCACTAATGAAGGTTTTGAGCACTGTACCTCTAACTGCATTTTTCCCATAAGGTTTTTTTTGTTTGATTTTGCATAGCATGGTGTTTTAGGGAATGAAGATGTCAAGTTATAGTAGAATTGACTGTAATACATAAAAGATGACTTAATACACGCTACATACATAAAAGTCAGCTCCATCTAAACTATGATAAAAGTTCAGTAGAACACAAAGAGAAGGACTTCTTAAAGTAACCACATCAGACTTAGATCATTTAGAACAGAGATGTCAAACACTAGCCTGCCTTTGGCTTCAGAGTATAAGCTGAACCAGATTAAAATGCAACAGGGAAATATTTAACCAAATAAATAAAAATAGATAAAACATAGATAATATTACTTTAAAACCAAGTCAATATGCAGCTTACAAGGATCTTTTGCTTTGTATTAGTGGCCCTCATTTCTATTTGAGTTAAACACCACTAATCTAGAAGACTGGAAGAATAAAATTATTTTAAAAATTATTTTTCTTTAAATTAGGGTTCAATAAAAATAAGCAATACTTAATCAAAGAGGCTAAGCTCGAGGCAGAGAGAGTCTTAAATTTTACATATATCTATATCTATCTATATATGGGCTAGGAGGAAAAGTTTTTAATAAGAGCATACCAATAAATGCAGAATCTTAGGCTCTGTCTTAGGTATGGGAAGAGGACTGTGATTATGATGAGTTGATCATATAGTAAGATAAGCTTTCTCTAGTGGTGGAGCAGGGTTGGAATATACTTGCTTTGTGCAAGTATAGAGACTAAAACTAAATACAGCTTTGTTAAAAACAAAACAGAATGATGCTTTATACAGATAAAATGAAAAACTCACAATGTTTAATGGAAGGAAAACCAAACTTAATGATAATCTTTAATATTAATTAGCGAAATTTATCAATTTAAAAGGAATAGAACAAAAAATGGATTAGAAAACAAAACCCAACAATTTTCTAGTAAAGCATAGTAGTTCATACATATTAAAAGTAAATTTATTATGCTTTAGCTGAGACCATATGATTCTAGCCACTGAGGCTGCTTTCTGAGAAGCATAATAAGTGAACACAAAGAGGATCCTCACCAGTAGGCTGCCCACAATTCTTTCATGACAACCTATGAAACAAAGAAAATTATCAGATGGCCCTAAGTCCTATGTATGCATCCTTCTGCTTCTATAGTTGTCGTGGAAGAATGTTGGGAAAAGGAGTAGTGGGCACTAAGAATAACAGTTATTAAGAAAGTCTAGGCACTTTAATTTCAGTCTTAATATTACAAATGTGACATCCTTATCCAGCAAAGGAGTGGATATAATACTAAAGGCACTGAATCATATCAATGTTGTCATTTTCACTGTTAAAGAAACAAAAAGCAGAAGTATCTTTCAGCTAAACAGATGGCTAACAGTTTCTCCTTGGAGAAGCTAATAAGAGTTGACAAGAGATATTCCATCTTCTGATATTAAAATACTCAAGATAAGTATCTGTAAAATGATCATCACAAAAATAACTGCATCTTATACAAAAGATGTCCTGTCGCAGATAACTGAGAAAGAGAAATTATATAAGTTGTCTGATTATACCTTCCAGATCAAGTATATACTGATACGCAGTGACTTAACTACAAAGATGGAAATAAGGAAATTGAAAATTTTGTTGGAAAATATGATGAGAAATAGGAAATAAGAGGCCAAAGACTACTCAGAAGCTTCACATTAAAGTGTTATGAATACTTCAAGAAAAGGACAACAGGTATTGGTCATGGATAATATCACAAAAAATTATGTTTTGATCAAAAATGACTTATTACTAATGTGGTAGTCATCCCCAAACTTCTTTCTGTGTAGTCAAATTGCTGACTTATTAGAGCAAAGCAAGTTAATACATAAGTCAAAAAATAATAAATGAAGAAAGATATGCAATTTTGAAAATTGTATCCTCACTTTATTTAAACAAGTTACTGATGATTAAAAATGGGATATAGCTAGGAAGTAGGTCATAGATACAAACTACAATAATGTCATACAGTACTTTAACAAATGAAAAGCAAATGCCATAATTAGGAGATTTAAAGGGCCAAAAAGTGCCTTAGTCAACAAGGAGTTGATTTATTTGCCATACAGAGAGATTTGGTAGGCAAAGGAAAAACTAGCTTAGAAAGTAATGAACTAAAAAAAATCTTACAAGAGAAGTATGGCAGAAGATTATCAGAATTATTTCTTGATAAAAGAGAAAAACAGTGGAGAGAGAGTAAAACTAGTTCAAAGACAGGTTGGTGAAAAATCCAATTAGCAAGCAAAATTAACCTGAGGATATTTACAGATGAAAATGTAAGGAGAGCAACAATAAAAATGGAAAAGGTCTGCAAAGCTTATCATATCAAAACTTTGTTCAACATCAAGGACAGTGAAGCCACCACCTTGGACTCTATATCTTGGGTATGCTTAACCAAGGACATAGAAATGGACAAAGATGAGGAAAGCAACTGTATCAAAGTATGCATATAAAGAAGAGAGGCATGCTAGTGCTGACACAACTGTGAGGATACTAAGGGATTAATTCAAAAGGTATATGAAGAAGTCGAAGATACAAAAGGTGTGTGTGTGGGAAATCTCAAATGTGATCAATGTTGCAAAAAAGCAACCAAGACATCAACTACTATGAATCTATATGGCTACCTTTCCGTCTTTCACACACAAGTGAGGATATATTTGATGGGAAACCAGCCAAGTTTCATGAAGTAAAATTGCGCAATTAATCACATCTTTACCAGATCACTACTAAAAAAAATGCAAAAAATACAGAAATTCCATTGTGAAAAAAGCATTTGAATCAATAGAGCAAAATGCCACCACTCTGTCTTCCTATGAAGAATGAGATAACCTTATTAGTGATCCTCTAATTATCAACATCAGATGAGACACAGAACTGTCTTGAAGAGAGAGAATCTTGGACAGACGCTGAAATGAACAAGTTAGGCCCAGAAATTACAGAGGAGTAAGAGAATGGACTGGACTGCCTTTGGGAAACTGCAGACTTTCTTTAATGACACCAAACTTCTCCCAGAAACAAAAGCCCGTTACTTTAATTCTAACATTATACAACTGTTATATGGGTACAAAACATAGAACATAATAGCATCTGTAAAATTTTTACAAGTATTAGTTAGAGGTCAACAGAGAGCTATGTGGTGGGTGTGAGGCAGGATTCTGCACATAAGTTAAGAACTTCAAAAAAGAACTGGAATAAAGGATATAATTGCGTGATTGAAAAAGGAGATAAGCTGGTCAGACAGAATAAAGGAAAACCAATGGACAATTGGCCCATTTCACTGGTATCCTAGTAGTGTCAGGAGAAAGTGAGGAAGCTTCTTGCCCTACTGGGTCAATCCTCTATGACAAACTTTGTTGGAAGTAAATGGAAAACTAATAGGCATGGAAGAAAATTATAAATTACTTCCTTGGTGGGATTCTTCATATTGATGAGATCACTCATCATTTGAGTATACTTCAAGAGTATCAAACAGGAACTGAAGTCATGGGAAAGGGTAAAAACTACATTATAATTAAAGGCATAAATAAATAAGCAGTACCAATTTTAGCATGGAATGGCATAGAGGAAAAAAAGGCTTACATGGCAAGACACTAATTCTAGAAAAGAAGGAAATTAACAGACTAAAAGAAAATGCTGGGTAAGTTTGATTCGATAAACCTATGGGGACTTCTGACAATACATTTTTTGGTTCAGGCTCCTATGGGACTTATTTTTTAAGAAATCATGTGATTGGTCACAAAGAACTTATAAATAAATGTGGACAGACAGAAATCTTTAAAACATTCTGTAAAGACCATAACCCAAAACTCTAACAAATGAAGAAATCTGAACAAAAGATGCAGCTCTAAAGACAGACTAAAAAAATCTTTAATAAAAAGTGAATTAAAGACCAAATAATAGGAACAATAAAAAATAAAAGATAATAACAAGACCTATCAAATTTTATGGGATATAACTAAAGCAATCCTTAGCAGAAAATTTATACAACTGAATGCACCTATTACCAAGAAGGCAAAAAAGAAATAAGGAAAAGAGAAAATAATAAAAACTCTAAAAATTCATAGACCCAAAACAGTTCAAAAGGAACAATTTTTTAAATTAAAAGAAAGATAAACAGAATTGAAAGCAAAAAATAATCTGAGCTATTAAAATAATAAGCTGATTTTTAATGAAACACAAAAATTAGCAAACTCTTAGCTCATTTGATTTTTAAAGAGGCAAAAAAATTAAATGTAAAAAAGAATTTCACAAAAATGGAGAGGGGTATTTTTAAAATTATCACAAGTTATGGAATTATAACAATACAGAGGAAAAGAGGTTTGGACTTTGGGGTCAGAGGGCCTAAGCTCAAATCCTAACTGCTACTTTACCTACATATGGCTTTGGGCAGGTTAGTTTTCACATATGGACTTGAGTTTCTTCATCTACAGAATGAGAGCATTAGACTAGATAACTTGGAAGGGCACTTACAAATTCTATGACTCCATGAGTTTTTATCTATATATAATATTTAATAAATTCAATTAAAAAGGAAATACATTTAAAAATTGGGAAAAAATAAAAATGTATATGTATGAACTTTTGTCATGACTATGAACTAGGTCATGACTATCAAGACAAGTGATGAGAAAAAAAGTAGTCCTAAATGGGGTTTTGACAATACAACATCTCAAATTTTATTATAACACAGTAATTGTTAAAATACCTGGTATTTTTTTAAAAAGCAAAGATGAATGGGCAGCTAGATGGCACAGGGGATAGAGCTCTGGGAAGACCGGAGTTCAAATCCAGCTTCAGACACTTGACACTTAACTAGCTGTGTGACCCTGGGCAAGTCACTTAATTCCGACTGCCTCACCAAAAGCAAAAATAAATAAATAACAAAAATGATCAGTGGAATAGATAAGATAATCATCAAATAAGCCTTTTGTTTTTGGCCAGGCAATGGGGTTAAGTGACTTGCCCAGGGTCACACGGCTAGTTAAGTATCAAGTGGATTTGGACTGGATTTGAACTCAGGTTCTCCTGACTCCAGGGCCAGTGCTCTATCCACTGCACCACCTAACTGCCCCCATCAAATAAGTCTTTAAGAAAGAAACATGGAGAACAGGCCAGTACTGAATAAGCCCAAGAATATAAAGATATTCAGGAAAACAACTCTATTTAAGCAAACATTGCTGGGAAACCTGGATAGAAGTTGTCTAACGTAAAAATTTATTTACATCATCTTCAGCTATTGACCATAAAAAGTTCCAAAGGGACAAAGTATTTTCATATAAAAAGTTACAAGATTAAAAATCCATAAGAGAATGGAAGGTTGTAGCTCTCATAACTGTGGAGGGGATGAATTTCTCATCAACTGCAACATGGAATATCATACAATTAAATAATACATTGTTTATATAAAACTAAAAGTTTCTGCACAAATAATATAGTTAAATAATAAGACAAGATGGAATGAAAAATAACATGTCAAAAATCAACAAAATTAATTTTAAAAACCTATTAAAAACCTACATCTCCTAACTTCATACCTAATGATCTTTCCACTATCCTATACACTGCTGCATACAACTACAGATTGCCTTCTTACCAGAGACATGTATCACAATGTCAGTAAGTAATTTTAGCTCCTCTTAGTGCTGACATCAAACCTGAACTCTTTTTTTGTCATTCTCCACATTACCAGATTCACCTTTGGCCAATTTAATTAACAGCAGTCTAGTGAAGGGAGTATGCCTGGGAATTAACGGTACACAAATTTTAAAAACAAGATGACATAAACATTCACCTAAAGGCCTAATTATATTACTTAAATATAAAATTCTAGTCAGAAGCTAAATGTTTCCTCTTGTATTTTCTTTTAATTTCAATGATTATTGTGTTAAAAAAAATTCCTACCCTTTGTTTCCTTTTTCTTCAGTATCTACCCAGCAGATATCCACATATTCTCTTGAGTCTACTGCATCTACTTTCCCACATGTAATTTTAAAGTCTTTTTGGTCTCTTAGAGCTAGCCGTAAGCCTTCCATTGTCTCTGGAGTTATTTGTACCATCAAACCATCTAGAAATAAAAGAACTGAAGTTAGGGATGTCTTAAACTAAGTAATGAGATTTATTGTTGTAAAAACACTGGTTTCTACAATCAAAATACTTTTTTTGTATGCAGTAAAGTCATCTTGTGATTAAAAAAATATCCCCAGATTGTTTAATTCTAATTCTTTGATATACAAAGGAAACATGAAGAATACTTTATAAGTGAAAGTTTAATTTCAGTAAAGACTCTACTACATTAGCCTATAAAAATATTCTTATTTGTAAAAAAACCCCTCTATTTTAGTTCTTTTTAGTTTAATAACATAAACACTTTTTCCCCCCAGCTAATTGCATTTCAGTAACACAGAGGCACATCTGTCAAAAGCTTTCTGAAAGAGAGCACATATATATATATATACATATATATATATATACATATATATACATATATATATATATACACACACACACACACACACACACACACACACACACTAAAATGCTTATGATTAAAAAATTATAGTTTATAAAATCATGGTGTATAATTTTTTAGATACTTAAACATATCTCAATAATAAGAAGTTATCTTTTCCCTGAGACTTTAAAATAATTTCACTGTAAATATCATCTCAGGATAAAGCACTTCAACTATTTTCTAAAGAAACTTTAGCTTTCCCCCCAGCAATAAATGTTCTTTTCCTAATTGTTCATTGTGCAGTAAACAAGCTCAACTTGTATTTGCAGATCACATTGTACTTTCCCTATGGAATGCATTCACTTTCCTAGTCTCATAAGCTCCTACTTTAATGAAAATCATCATTTGTTAAACATTAGACAAAAAAGCAGTCCTCTGTTTTCCTCTGCAGAAGGGGAAGTGATCTAAAGTCATGCAAAGTGTTAAGCTGCTAGAGCTGAATTATTTCATGTTAGGTGCCTTTTGGAATATTTCCTCAAAAATTCTAGAAATTTTTGAGTCAATTTTTACATCAAAACAATAAAAAAAAATTCATACCTTCAACGATGCTGGATTTAGCAAGAAATCCTGAGGATGTTTTTAGGGCTCCATTGAATACCACAAAACTTGCACCAGTCACTGATAAAGAAAAACAAAGACAGTATCATGGATTTGTTTTTCATGAGGCATTAATTCAAATTTACTAAGTTATTATCAAAAATAATACCTACAACTTGCTTTTTTTCTTAATTTACATGACCAAGATGTCTGTTTCCTTTTGCTGAACTATACATATCTGTTACAAGGGAGGGCTTGTATTCAGGATAGAGGATACTAAGTTAGTGCATAGGAGACAGATAACACAACAAAAAGAGAATAAAACACTATATTTTTATGCCACAGAAGAAAAAAGTGTAAAAGGGGATACAGAATTTCTCTTGCTATTTTGTTAAATAACACGTACATATATACACACACACACACACATATACATATATATGTATATACACACATGTTCTAGGCAGGGAAAAGAAAGCTGGCCTCAAAGCTAGGAAGACCTTGGTACAAGCCCTGCCTGACACACACTGGCTGTATATCAGCAGTCACTTTACGTCTAAGTGCTCTAAGTAACTCTCTTAAGATGATAAACTACAGAAAAGGTGCCATCTTGCACTGCTGGAGGCAGTTTGCACACCCAGGAGTTCCCTATACCAACTGAATCCTAGACCTACTCCCTATGCCTTAGTATAAACACACTGGACTTGAAGTCAAGAAAACTAGGTTCAAATCCTGCTGTGTGACCTGGGTAAGTCACTAACTCCTCTCAGCCTCAGTTTCCTCATCTGTAAGATGAAGATAATAATAGCACCTACCTCACAGGGTTGTTGTTTAGATCAAATAAGAAAATATTAATGTAAAGTGTTCTCCAAACCTCCGAGTACTAAATAAATGTTAGCTCTTATTTATGAATAGTTTCAAAGCTATCTTTGTGGCTGTTAGAGCCTCATAAAGAGGTATGAAACATAAATAGATACCTACAATGGAAAATAATACATCAGTTCATCAGAGAAGTGCAAAGCAGTACTGGGTAAGATCTGGAAGGGAAGATGGTTTCTGATAGGAGGACTCACCAGAAAGTGTCATGGAGAAGGGGGTGTTTAAGTTGGGTTTTAAAGGATAAAAATTTAAGTAGAGAGAGGAAAATGAGGCTACACTAAGCAAAAGGAACAATGTGAGCAAAGGCCTAAACAGAATAAATTATCATGTTTTTAGGGGACAGAAAATAATCTAATTTGGCCAGATCAAACTTATTAATCACATTAATAAGAAAAAGTTAGTCCATAAACATTAAGTGCCTGCTATATGCCAAGTATTATGCTAACTCCTGAGGATACAAAAAGAGACAGTCCCTGCCCTCAAAGAGCTCACAATTTAAGGGGAGAGACAACCTATATAAATAGGAAATAATTAATGGAGGAAGGCACTAGAATTAAGAGGGGTTAGGGAAGGCTTCTTGTAGATGGTGGGATTTTAGCTGAAACTTAAAAGAAGCCAGGGAAGTCAACAGGCAGAGTTCATAAGGGAGAGCATTCCAAGCGCGGGGGACAGCCAGAGAGAATGCCCATAGTCAAGAGATGGAATGTCTTGTTGGAAGAATACTCAGAGCTATCAGATTGGCCAACATGACAAAACAGAAAAATGATAAATGTTGGAGAAGATGTAGGAAAATTGGAAAACTAATGCATTGTTGGTGAAGTTGTGAAATGATTCAACATTCTGGAGAACAATTTGAAAGTATGCCCAAAGGGCTATAAAAATGTGCATACCCTTTGACCCAGCAATAACACTCCTAGGGCCATATCCCAAAGAGATCACACAAACGGGAAAAGGACCCAAATGTACAAAAATATTTATAGAAGCTCTTTTTGTGGTGGCAAAGAATTGGAAATTGAGAGGATGCCCATCAATTGGGAAATGGCTGAACAAGTTGTCGTTTGTGAATGTAATAGAATACTGTTGTGCTATAAGAAATGATGAGCAGGCAGACTTCAGAAAAACCTAGAAAGACTT